GTGTGTACACACTCCTACACGCGGCCCCCACCGCCTCACCTTGTGCCGGAACTCGCGGGCGACGCGGCGCTCCATGCTGCGGGAGCGGTGCGGGATGCGGGAGCGGTGCCCGAGCCGTACCCGGAGCCGTACCCGGAGCGATGCCCGAGCCGTACCCGGAGCCGTACCCGGAGCGGTGCCCGGAGCGATGCCCGAGCCGTGCGGGGCGGCTGCGCGGGCGAGGCCGCGCCCCGGGGCGGTGAGAGGCGCGGCCGCCGCCGCCTCCAGCATCCCCGACAGCGCAGCCGGGCAGTGCCGCCCGCCCTGGGCTTGCGGCCGAAACGGCGGAGAGAGCGAGAGGAAAATAAACATCCATGCCCCCTGCCCCGCGGTGTGCCACCCGCGCTTGTTTGTACAACTGCTTCTCCTCAAACGGCACTCCCATACCAATTTCTCTCCTGTATTTGTAGGTGTGCATGCGTGACACTAACACTCATACTTGAGGAAAGCACGAAGATGTGAATTTTAAAGCATGCTAACACCTGGATTAAAGACAAACCAACCAACCAACCAAACAAACAAACAAAAAAAAATCCAAGCCCAAACAAAGAAAAAATTTCCTTCAATAAATTGTTGTACGGCAAATAATCTCAACGTCTTTATTTTTAGGTAAGCGGAGTGAAGCTGATGCATCTCTGCCTGAACCAGACTTCCCCCAGCCTTTCCCACCAACACGATGTTGTTGCTTACAAACAGAACCTCTGACGTGGCCGCTGTGAGTAACTGCAGAAGGATCAAGCTCGGATCACCTGTAAAGGAAACAATTTCGGATTAATCTCTTTCATGCTATTTTGTCTTGAGCTGGTTCTTCTCCCACTTTCCCTACTGTAATACAAGATCTTAGATTTCCTCAGTCAGGAGGGCAGCGAGTGCAGGATATCTGCTCCCAGAGTCTCTTGGTCTCCAAGCAGAGTCACCTTTAACCACATAACTCCAGAGACAGCAGGGTTTACTTCAGGACAGCTAACTCACCTCTCTTCCTTCCAACCGAGTGGAAACTTGTATGAACACTTATAAAAACGCGATTTAAAAGAGCAAAAAAACAAAAAAACCCCACAACTCCATACTGCCACAACCCCCCCTGTGTTCTATTTCATTATTTCTGTGTGATGACTTTTGTAAGCTACACCGGCTCCTTAGAAACTGCTCTTAGCCCTTTCAGATGATTTTGCTGTATTGGAACGTTTCAACTGTATGTACATTACCCATTTCTCATACCAAGGGTCAGGAATATGAGGAGAGTGCATATTGAGCCTGTATGTAAATAAATACCGTTGTTTTCAGTAAACAATTTTCTCTTTAAATTGCAACTATTAATACATAAATCATTTTTACCTAAGTTCCAGTACCACACCATACCACAAAGCTATTCTCTCCACACAGATACAGAATTAAGCACACAGATATAGAATTTCTTCCATGTACATGCAAAACAAAACTATCTTGTATTTGAAAAGAGGAAGGAGACACAAAAAATTTGAAGCACGCATTAGAACCCATGCATGCAGCCTCTAAATTTATATATAGTCTAGAACAACCATTGATATCTATCAATTGTTTCTAGAAGGCTTTGCAGGAATAGATCTTATACAAGCTCAAACTTATGTACATTTGAAAGAAAGTAACTGGTTTTTATAATACAGGTAAACTTCCCGGGAGTCAGAAACTCCTCCACGTAGTAAACGATTGTGGAATTAACTTCACTTGGTGATATGAAAACTGCATCACTATGTAAAGTACCCAGTGCAGAAAGGATGACAAACTTGGTGGCTCTTAGTGGGCTGTTACACGAATTCCTGTGCTCCACTGTGCATAAATACAAAGCAAACGAATCCACAAAGTTAACTCATGCTCCAAAACTGGATAATCAGTAAATTTATGACATGGTTCTGAAGTTCTCATTGCTTCAAATGCACCATATATTAAAAGATGGTACAATTATGACTGTTGAGTATTTTTAGATAATGAAATCTTTCCTAGAGAGAAATCAAATTGCATCTAAATGGGCTCTAGATTAGCTTCAATTCTTGTTTGCTACTTGTGGCATAAAGGGAAAACGAACAAAGTGAGCAGCTCATTTAGTAGGCAAAGAAATACATTAAAGTGTGTGTTGTGTAACCTGATCCCTGTTGCTTTTATCTACTCTCTCTATTTCCATTAATGTAACCTGGATCGGTGAAAGTGCACCAAAGCCAAGCACATGCTGCACTCGGAGCAGATACAGGCGGTGGCTAGCATGGAATTCTAAAAGTCGGTTTGGGGTTATTTGGAAAAGGCTATGTCAAATTAAAGGATATCTTTTATTCCTCACTTTCTTTTCTCTCAAGCACATTCTCCCTCCAACACTTACAGGAGAGAACAGAATTCTCAGTGGAAACATCACTGGTTTTCCATCATTTCATTAGAAATGAAACACAAGAAACACAATCCACAGGGACAAATTACAAAGGCAGAAAAAAGATCTTTTTAATGACTTACTGTTAACAGACTTCCCAAAGCAGTCAGAAAAGGCCCCTTTTTATGTGAGACAGTTTCTCACCTGGTATGGGCAGCTTCTAAAGCTTCTGTCATAAGATCTGCAAACCTGCAGAATGATGGGGAGAGAGACAGCAGCAGATGGGAAAGGGAAAATAACAGAGGAAAGGTAACAGTGATAGGAGGAGAGTAAAGGGAAGAAACGTAATGGAAGGATGCAAATTTAATCATAAGGGGTGAGAGAGAGAAAGAAAGAAAGAAAGAAAGAAAGAAAGAAAGAAAGAAAGAAAGAAAGAAAGAAAGAAAGAAAGAAAGAAAGAAAGAACATGGAAAAGGCTCCACAGAGGGCTCCAGTGTGAATTTATAGTAAAAAAAAGTTATCAGAAGCTGTGGAAACCATCCACACACGTTAGGTGCATTCACCGTGTCTCACTTATGGCTGTCATTATTCAAGTCCTGACACTGTTGGAGGGGCCGTGCCCCGTGCTGAGCTTTGCAGTTCCCAGCAGGAGCGCTCGGTCCGCACTCCGAGCCCGGACACCCGAGCCGCCTCCCAAAAACCCCGAGGGCGGAAAAGTGGCGGTGAATGTGCGGAGGTGGCGAGGGCAGCGCCCGGCACGGCCAGGGAGGGAGGGAGGGAGATGCGGTGGCCGGGGCCGGACCCCGCTGCGGGGCGAGGGGCGGTGTCCGGGCTGGGTGCCAGGGCCGGGCAGGGCAGGGCAGGGCAGGGGGCGGGCGGGGGGGGGGGGGGGGGGGGGGGCGGATAAACCCCCCGGCCGCCCCGCCCGGGAGGGCGGGATGAGCTCGGGGCGCAGGTAGCGGTCGGAGCTCCGCGGGAAGAGGCGCTGCTGCCCGCATGGAGCCCCGGCTCCTCCTCGGAGCGCTGCTGTGCGCCTGGCTGCCCTCGGGTGAGTGTCAGCCGGGCACGGCACGGCACGGCACGGGCGGGCAGGGCGGTGTGACCATCACTAACCTGCCCCTGTTCCCTTCCAGTGCTGTCTCCGTGGCGTGCCTGGGCGCAGCTCCCCGCTGACAGGGATGCGCCGCTCCGCAGGTAAGAACCGGCCGGGGCACAGCGCTGCCCGTCCCGGGCCGGGTGCGTGGGTGCCCATCCCATCCCATCCCGGGTCCGGTGGGTGCCCGCTTGTCCCGTCCCGTCCCGGGCCCGGTGGGTGCTCGCCCTGCCCGTCCCGGGTGGGTGTCTGCGCTACCCGGGCAGAGCCAACGCTGCTCTTTTCTCTCCCTCTCAGCCCAGGCAGCACGGCAGGAGCCCGGAGCAGGACCGGCCTCGCTGCAGCGGTGCAGGTGAGGATGCGGGCTGGGCTGGGCACCGCGGGGCTGGGCATCACTGCACCTCGCTGGGGACCCCGGGGATGTGCGGCTTCCTGCCGGAACGAGAGCATCCACACATTGCATCCAGGGCTCGTGAGGCTGATGGGTTCGGCTGGGGCCGGGATTCCCAGCGCCGCTGCCCGGGGAGAGCCCTCGGAGAGTGCGGGATGGAGCGATGGCTGTTCTGGCTGTCATGGGGATAATGAACTTGTCGTATCTTGCCTCAGCACTGTGATACCATCCGTATTTTGGGTGGCTGTTGTACCACTGGTGATTCTTCAGGACTTGCCCTCGAATGTCCCAGCCACGAGGACTGTCAGTCCTGAAGGAAAGTTTAGTGTGAAAGCAGCGAGAGAAGATTGTGTGATGTATCTAGAGCTTTAGCTTGTTCATGAAGTTGTGTGTTGTGCAAAGCATCCTTGCTCGAGGTGGAGCTGAGGGCTGCTCTGGCTCATCAGAAACATTTGCTTTGTGGGAGCCTTTTTGCTTCTCGGTGGAGGTAAACGAGCTGGCAGTGTCGGGTCATTACAGCCCAGCACTCAGGTTTTTGGATGTGGTTTATCTTGGCAGCCCGACTGTGTCGCTCATGGCACGTTGCTGAAATGTAATGAGGGTGTGTGGTTCCCACTGCCTTGTTCGAGGGTGGGAAAAGGAAGGATTGCTTTGTAGTCCTTGTTCGTGGCTCCTCAGAGGGAGTCACCTTTCTTTTTTGCTTTTTCCCTGCTCTTTCTGGGAAAAAAGCTCAGCAAAGAAAAAATGTCACATAACTGCAAATAAGTAACCAAACCAAGCAGCAATAATAGCAAATGCTCCACTCCAATTGTCCCATCAAGAATTCAAGATCTAGTAATACATTTTTTGTTTCTTTCTGGGCTAGCTAGCCCACTGAGCAGAAATCTTCGGTAAGAATTATGTTTAAGAGGAAGGAAAAAGAAAAGATATTGCAGTGGTATTGAGTAGAGTGTACTTTTTACTTTACAATGCAGGTTCTTTGAGAACTTTATAGTAAGACAATATGAAGCAATAATCTTAATAAAAAGGGTAAATTTACTGAAAGACCAAGGAGGTTTTTCGATGTCTTGTTTATAGCTGCTGATTTCTTTGTTCTTTCTGAAAGGAGTCTGGAATGGAAGTTAATAATACTTCACCTACAGCAATGTCCTTGCCTCAGAACAGGAGAATCCACAGTATGAAATGTGAATCATCCAGTAAGTTATTTACATTCCTACATAAAGTGAAACTTCTCTTGTCCCTTATTTTCCCTATTGTTTAATCATTCTTAGAAAGGAAAAAATTAATCCTAAAATAGCTATTACAGGCCTTAATGATGATGAGGCTCTACCTTGTTTGGTCCCAGAAGTATCCAGGAATATGGAAACTTGTCATGGAGTTTCACTTAGCTTTAAGTTTACTCTTGGTTCTGGTTTGATAATTTGAAAGACTGTTCCTGACTGCAGCTTTTTTAATAAAGAATTTTCAGAAAGGAAATCTTCTCTAATGGTGACATACCTAAAAATGTGGATTGATGTTTAGACACCATTAAATTGCATGTCCTGTACATTTTTTTGTGCTTGGAGATGGTTTGTTTCTTTTTGCTGAGGTAACCTGCAGATGCTTTTTGTGTGTATGGTCTATGGGTTAGCAGGATAAGGTCCTTTTGGCCACCAGCTTGCAGTGGTGGGCATTTGCTTGAGGAATGTGCATCTTTGGTTTTTTGATTTGTCTTATTTTCAGAAGTGAAGTGGACAGGCTTAAAATATCTTTGCTAAAGGGTAAAGATCTTCTGTGTTAACCCTTAGAAGGGTCTGAGTCTTGCTTGTCTTGTCCAAAAGAGAGGAATGAGGCAAAATAATTCAGAGTAATTTTAGTTAGTGATGCAAACCCTCTGGTTCCCTTCAGTCAGCCTGATTGTGTTGGATGTGGGACCTTCCTTGAAGTGAAGAGTCTCAAAATAAATGTTTGAAAATAAATGTGTGTTTTGGTGAAGATGCAAAGTGCCTTTGAACAGCTGTCATGATGCTGCTCAGGAATGTGTCTGTGTGAAGCTGGGGCACTGCAGAGCCCCTTGCAGTGATGTGAGCTGGATTCCAGCCACACTTTCTCAAAGGCTGTGATAAATAACGGGCCCAAGGTTCTGCCACTGCTCATAGGAGAATTTAAAAGTGGGATGAACTGAAAAGGAGGCCCATGTGCTCAGGGGACTAAAATAACCCTAGCCAGGGGCTGCAGTAGTTATGGGGGCTGGAGTATTTAAGGTGAGAGCAGCAGAGAAGAATTCAGACCTGTGTTATAAGATGATCCCAAGCCTTCACTTATTCAATAAAGAAGGAATTTGAGGCTGGTTGCTTCATCACAGCAATGGTGGCATCATCAGTGTGATCTGCAGGTTTTAGTGGTAACACTGGTTAGAAATCCCATTTTGACTTATGTGAGTCAAATCATGCTGCTTAGGGATGCTCTTTTCTGCTAGAAAAGTCTCACCAGTTTTCAGTTTCAGATTCCAACCCAGTGCACTCAACTGGCATGATGTCAAAGGGGAAAGAGGAGCTGAGGAGTTTTTAATAGGTGTTGCTTTCAGGTTAATGGAGGACAAAATATTCTTTAAGTTTTCCTAATTTTAACTTCCAGTTAGTCTTGATGTCTTTTCCCTTTCTGCAAGTATTATAATGTTCTCACATTTCTAGGGGAGAGATAAACTTTTGATGTGGTCATATGGGTTAGCTTATTTGGAGAGCTCATATTCCTTTAATGACAAAGATTAGAATGACCCCCTTGTTACAGGACATTTATTCTGAATACTTTAGGAAGTATTTCTGTGTTAATGGAGCAGAATGGGATGATGAAAGGAGGCCACATTTACAGTAGTAGGAGCACTAAATGTGATCTGAAACAATGCTGCTTTCCTCATTACCTTCTTGGGGATAACTCATGTTTGCACACACAGCTGTTCTATGCAGTGTAAGGAAAGATACTTAACAATGATGTAAAAAGGGACAGAAATAAACACAACAGCTGAGATTATCCTATTTTCTTAGAATCATACACAGACAGAAGAGAACTTGATAAAAAAGGAAATGGTTATGACTGGGTCATTTGGTTTTTTGATTCAGGTTTGACTAACAGCTTTTCTCTCTACAGAGAGCCAGGGAGATCCATGGCAGTGGCACTGAGGGTCCCCAGGTCGGCTGAGTGTTTGCAGTCTGAACAAACCCGGCTTGGAGCAGGTTACCTGAGCCATGCTCAGACTGGAATCATTCAACCTCAAACATCAAAAGGGGGCTAACTTCCTCTGCAGCTCAGGGGAACATGACTTGCAGCCTAATTGCACATTATTGTAGCTGGACAGGCAAGAGGGCACAATCTTAGAGGAGCAAAGAACAGAGAGCAGAGCTCTGGTTACACAGGTCTCAAGATGAAAGGGATCAATGTCTGCCTCTCTGACAAGAGGAACAGGCTTGTGCATTATTGACAAGATTGGTCACAGTGACCATGGAAATGAGATGGCTCAGGCAGTGCAGGGAGGGACCTTTCTGCACGGTGCTGCAGTATTTTTATTTTTATTGACCTGGCCAGGCAGGGAAGGGAGCAGGATAGTTGGGCCAGCATTGCCTTTTATTTTATCTACTTGCTTTGTTCTTTTGAGCATGGCCTTTTTATTTATTTATTTATTTTTGGTTGGAGGGTGGGAGACTGCTCCTTGAAATCAAGGGAATCAAAATTAATTGTTTGGATATTTTGGAAAGAAGCCTTCAGTTTGTATCTTCCTGAAACAGTTTCTTCTGAGCAACTTGTCTGCTTTCTGAAACAAAAGCAATCTCAGTTTGTATTCTAAAGTACAAAAACCACTATGATTGCATAATAGTAAATTATAAAAATTAAAATCCTTTCCTGAACAAATTTTATAGGAGCAAATACTAGCAAAACAAGTAAATGGATCACAATCTAAAAAAAAGTTTCAATCACGAAGTTTAAATTTAGTAACAGGACACTTTGTTTCTGTTTGTGTGCATTTTTCTTAGACTGTGAAAACTTTTGTCATATTTTGATAGGGATCTTCACAGGGAGAATAGAAATTAAAAAAACCAAAACAACAGCTCCCTCCCCAAACCCAGACCTGTCATTACAAGTCAGGGATTTGTGTCTTTATGGGAAGTGCTTGTGGTTGGAGTGCTCAGAAGCTGGAAGGTGGAGGGGGGCAGGCAGGTGTGGGTGCACAGCTGGGATCAGAACATTTTATTTCCAAGGTAGCTGCTCCCATCCTGGCAGAGTTTACCCACGGGGGGTGTGCATGTGGGCATGGGCTTCTCTGAGTGCAGTGCTTGTTCACTCCCTCCGTTTGCTGCTTGGGACACTGAAAACGTGTCACCCTAACATGTCACAGACACTTGGATTTGGCTTCTCTAAGGATGAAATGGGTTTGTTCCTCTGGCTGTGTTGCCTGAGTTGAAGCTCTCACACTGTGTTTCATTTCTGTGGGGCTGGTTGGACTCTCCAGGACACTTTACTGCTGAGTCAGCACCTCCTGTCATTGGCAGAGCACACCCAGTGAAAGAACTGGGTGTTAAGGAAGAAGACGACCAGAATTGCTTTGACATGCCGTGTTTCTCTGCCCTCAGACCCACTGGGATGTTTCCATGGCGGGGAGTGTGTCCACAGAGCCGTGTGTGACTGCAGCCTCTTCAATGCCACGGGCCCCAGGTGCCAGGCAGGTGAGGGGAGAGAAAAGAATCCTGGCTGAGTTTTGGGCTTGCACTGCTGCTCCCACAGCTGCACTGACTGCTCCCTGCCTGAAGGCTCCCCTCATGCTGGAGCATTTCCCCCTCTTTTCCTTTATGTTCTTGTATTTCCCAGCGTGTCTCGGGCACTGCCCCGTCCCAGCTCCTGCTGGAATCAAAAGGCAGCGCTGGGTCTCAGGTGACTCTCCCTTTGTTAGTGCATAACACAGGTGCTGAAAGAGATCATGTGTGCAGGACGTGGGGCCAGTACCATTTCGAAACTTTTGATGGACTCTATTATTACTTTGCTGGGAAATCCACCTACGCCCTTGTGAGGCACACAGAACTGGATGAGCAGAGCTTTTCCATACAGGTAGGCAATGCTGCCTCTACATTCTCTTGAGCTGCTGTTGAAATGCTAATCATGTATTAATTTTAAGGCATTAAAAGTAACTTGAGATTGATTATATAGGGGATTGCAAAATGTAATCCAGATGTGATTTGAACATGATGTGGGCTGCCAGTTGCTGTAGCATAGAATGCAAACAGCTGGAATGAGATGGATGTGTGTCCTTCCAAAGCCTGCTTTGTTCACTCAGAGCTGTGAAAAGACCATTCCATGACCGTGGCTGTGAAAACACTGCTCAGTTTTTTCCACAAGAGGGGGACCAAACTTCTTGTTCCCATGCTGAGTGCAGATTTGGGAGTATTAGTTCTGTTACATGTTTAGTGCAAAGAATTTGATTAAAATGTTGACTTTGTGATTTTTTTATTTGGCAGGTGAATAACGATCCTGAATGCCATTCTTCTCCTTATTCCTGCAAAAGGTCCATTAGTTTGTTCTTTTCTGGAGATGAACAGATAGAGCTGAGCAGTGAAGTCACCTATAAAGGATTTGGGTAATTGCAGTCATGTTTCTAATGCTGTAGTTGCACTGGAGTTAATATCACGGCACCATTTTGATAATAGAGATGTAAACTTATTCCTTGGTAAGCTGAAAAAGCACCCAGAGCACAGCTGCAATAATGACTCTCCATTTACAGAGGAGTGTCTGAGAGAGGTGATAGCTGAATTAGTGGTATATAGAATTAAGTATAATCATTGGCATTCATGATTTTTGCTGCTATTTGCAAATTCATTTGGCTTAGTGGAGTTATTCAATATTTAAATCAGGGATTTTCAGTTGTAGGAGGAAGGCAATCAGCAAGTAATTTATTTTTAATGGTTCCATTTTGAAATGCAGTATTATTTTTGGTTCTGTGTGTCATTCCAGAGTACAATTGCCTTATGTTATTGGGAACTTACACATCCAGAAACTGGCTGGATACTTCCTGGTGAGGCACCAGTATGCCTTTACCCTGGCTTGGGATGGAACATCTGCAGTGTACATCAAAATGGCACCAGAGTACCTGGGCAAAACCCAGGGACTGTGTGGAAACAATAATGCAGTTGTGCAGGATGATCTGGAAACCAGTTATGGTGAGTACTTGAGGTACTCCTGATGTCTGATGTGGTGGTTGTTGTTTTTGGTTTTTTCTGGTGGAAAAAATGTTACTCTGCTTAGTTCTCAGTTATAATGCTGATTGAATTTAAGGTGGGTGACTTTTGAAATGGAGAATATGGTATGGAAATTCTTCCAGTAAATGATATTTAGTGAAGAGACCCAATTTCCATGTAGGTGGGGCTCTAGGGAGAAAGATCTTAAACTTGTCTTACTCAATTACCTACAATGGTATTTGTACTTCAGTTTCCTGGGACCTGAAAGGTAAAATCTGTTTTTAAATGTTCACTGCCCTTTTAGAAATGTTGCAACCTGTGAAAGCCTGAGGTATTGCTATTGGAAATAAATCAATAATTAGTAAATCAAATCAATGAAAACTGTCAAATGCTGTTTGATCTGGCATTGCATATATGCTAATGCTTTCAGAAATCAAGAAATCAAGTTGTTTATATTAATACCAAGATCAAGGGGTCGTTTCCCTCTCACCTTTCTCAGTCCCTTAAAGCTCATTTGTAGCACAAGGGAGTGAATTCCCTGTGCAGGAGCTTTATCCACTCAGCCTGGGGAGCAGCAGGAGGGAACATGTGGCAAGACATGCATTTATGGTAATCCAAGCACTAATCGATGTCCAAGGTGGATAATAATAATAATAATAATAATAATAATGATGGACGAATTGGTTTAACCCTAGTATGGACATTTCTGTTTAAATAAGTCACACCTTTATTTGGCTAATTCAATCGTTTTCTACCATTGCAGTGACCCAGGAATTCCTCATCTTTCTTGGGTTTTAGACTCCCTGTTGGGAGTTTGCTACAAAATAGCAGCATAGACCTATGTATTATTTATTTATTTATTTAAGCTTTTTATTAAAGCTTTTCTTTCCTTTATGGCATTATGGACTAAGGCAGGCACAGCCCTTCTCCCTTAAATCCCTTCCTTGCCAAATTGCCTGAGTAATCTGCTTTATGCTGTATGAAAACCCATTTCTGTAGCTCCTTTTAAAATAATTTTTTTGCTTCTTGAAAGACCAGATTGATTTCAGCTGATTCCCTGAGTAGTAGGAAGGGTTAAGTGTTCTCTTCTTGGTGTGCTTTGATTTTTGAAACGTTTCCCTGGGAAATCCTATGGAAGCACAGTTGTAATTCCAAGTCACCGTGTCTCTGTGTGTGTCTTGTGTCTAGGAAAACTGACAGATGATGTGACAGAGTTTGTAGAGAGCTGGGAGGAAAATCCTCCCCAAGGAGCAGCCAGCTGGGATAAATCTCTGCTCAATGAACCACCGTGTGTGAGACAAAGCCATGAATCTCTGCAGGTTTGCATCTACACAAAAGGATTATTGCCATAGCTGGTGATCCTAATTGGAGCAAGAATTTGACTTAATTTTAGTTCTCAATGAATAGTTTGACAACTTTTAAAAGCTTTGAAGGAGACTGAAAATATTCACATCTCTTTTTGGGGATAGTTTCATTAAAATGCTTGTTTGCAGCAGGTCTTCCCTTGTCTTCTCATCACCCCACTGCTCCCCCCCTTTTCTTCCATATTTAATTCTTGAGCTTTTCAAATATTATACTCTCTGCATAGCAGCCAATGGAAGTGTTTGACTATGAAACTGAATGAGTGACAAGTTGTAAAATATGAGATTCTTCCAGAACTTATCTATAGGAAGGAAAGAAAGAAGCAGGGAAGCAAAACCAGAGTCAGAGCACAGTTCATTTGCCAGAGTTTAAAAAGAGAACTATTGTGGCTTTTTTCCATGACTTTGAAGTAATTTTTCATTTTAATTAGTATTTTCAGGCTATAACCCTTAAATTAAAGTGCTTTGAAACTAAAGCTGGTGCCAGCTATGGTTTATTTCTCTTCCCTTTTACCATGTAATTCAATTAAAATAAAGGCATTTTCAGGTCGTCTTGGCTTAGCTGAAAGATTATCTGTGCCCTTTTTGGGGAAGGGATGTGTTTTACTGCCACTGGTGTGACCTTGGATGAAAGGTCCAGTGTTAGGGAAACTCTGACATGGGGAGCAATGTGTTGCTGAACTGCTTCTGTCTGGTGAGAGGAAAATGATTCCTAGACACAGACTACTCTGATTTTTCCACAGCATTCTATTTAATTCTGCTTGTGTTTATTTTTGCAAACCTCATTACAACAGCTGTCCCTTTCATTTCAGAGGGTGTATGCCCTGTGTAATATCCTGCTACATCCCCCATTTAAGCCATGTCATGAGTATGTGAGTCCTCTGTCTTTTATGGCAAGCTGCACAAATGATCTCTGCATGTAAGTGAATGTTTTTGGCTAATTCCAAAGCTATTATAAAAAAAATAGTTCTGTCATAAGAATGAATTTTCAATGTTAAATGAACTGATTTCTGGCTTTCTCTGCATGTGAGTTTTTATCTGACATTGTTATCTTGCTTTTCTCACTTGTTCTGGTTTTACTGCTGTGGAGCTGTTCCTGCTTTCTTTATATAAGAAATAAGAATTGTATAAGAATGACCAAAGTCAGGCCCAGATGTTTTTTCGATGTGTTAGTCTGTGTGCCCTGAACATGTCACCTGTTTTGATTCTGAGTGTACAACATCCTTAGGTGCTTTCTGCCATTCTAAAGCCTTCTTATTATAATGAAAAAGTGAACAGGTCAGGTTCTGCAGGCTGTGGTGGTGATCCATTGAAAAGAGGAATTTGAGAACCATTTGAACTTATGTTAACATTTCATTACCTGCTATACTCCTGGTCTGAGCACTTCTGACTAGTTAAATTAAAAAAAACCAAAAACAACAGGTCAGAAGATAATGTCCATTTCTTGTACCCTGGTGGCTCAAATTTTACACTTCTTTCTTGTGAGTTTTCTGTAGGATGTTACTCCTTCCTTAAAAATCAAGACCTTTATTGAATTTTCCTTATACTGCTGTATTTCTGGCTTTTGTGCATTCATTCAGAAAAACAGTGTCAGGTCTCAAATGTATTGATACTTGTACTGATGACTTCTCTTCAAGTGTGGCAGAAAGTTTGGGGTTGTTTTTTTTTATCCTTTTAAGACTTTTCACCTGGTGCAGCAGCACTGACCTTAGAGCATTGTTAAAGCAGGTTGGGGCAGCGTGGGGTGGATGCTGTGCAGGAGCCCCTGGGGCTCTGAGGGTGTGCAGGACTCACCCAGGTGTCCCTTTGTGTGTGTGGAAGGTCGGCAGCTGAGGATGCAGCGTGGTGCCGAGCCCTCACCGAGTATTCCAGAGCCTGTGCCCAGGCAGGAAAGCCCCTGCAGGGATGGAGAGAACACTTCCAGCAGTGTGGTAATGCCTCTGCTCCAAAAGGCTGCCCTTTGTAGCTTTAGTTCTTTGCCTTTCTCCAGTTTTGGATTAATATAATTCCTAATGAAGCTATTGAGTCAAACTCACCTCAAGGCTGCATAGGTGCAATGGATTTTCTCTTTAATATGTATAATTTATACTGAATTCATTTCAAGCACTAAGCCTATTAAAATGTCTTTCTTTAAGGTGATTAATAATTTTTATTTTCCTGGAGCTACTCTTTCAAATACTGTCGAAGTCATGGCTTTGTGATATATAAAATGTGTGCCATGAGTCTTAAGAATAAATTTAAATTGCATTTGCATAAGACTTCATCCTACAAGTCACATAAAGTAAGTTTGGAAGAGGTTATTTAACTTGTTCACCTGCCTGCAACACGAGACCAAAACTGCTTTGTCATCCATGACAGAACCACTGTGGTTCCAGAAAAATCTATTAATGGGTGTCCTGACTGCTTCTGATGATGGTCTGAGACTCTAAATAGCTCTGTTGTGAGGAAGTGTAATTTAAGATTTTCCTTCTTAATGCACCTTTGATGGAGAGAATGTGAATATATAAATATATAGCCATATATCTTGATATAAATATTGATAAAAATATATCAATCCATATTGATATGTAGATATATTGATAAAAGTAGATCAACCCATATATGTGTGTTAGGAAAGCCATTGTTTTAGGGGATGATTATCTAGAGAACAGACCCCAGCTGCCATGCCTGAAAACACACACCTGAAAGAAACGTGTGCAGTCCATTGAAGCTCTGTGCCAGCAGCTCTAGACCTTTAAACTCCAGTTTCTCCATTCCAGCCATTACCTGTCCTGCACCCTTGACCTACAGGGAGTGCCTCAGGTGCTGCCCAGAGTCGTGTCACCAGCAGTCCCAGTGCATTGGCAGTGAGCTGCACTGCATCGATGGCTGCTACTGCCCCGAGGGTGAGTTCTTAGACACACAAATTTTATTTTACACAGCCACTGCCCAGAGGGTGAGTTCTTAGACACACAAATTTTATTTTACACAGCCACTGCTCAGAGGGTGAGTTCTTAGAAACACAAATTTTATTTTACACAGCCACTGCCCCGAGGGTGAGTTCTTAGAAACACAAATTTTATTTTACACAGCCACTGCTCAGAGGGTGAGTTCTTAGAAACACAAATTTTATTTTACACAGCCACTGCCCAGAGGGTGAGTTCTTAGAAACACAAATTTTATTTCACACAGCATTCAGCTTCTTCCTCCCCGTGGCCACTGTGCAGGACAGAGAGCAGTGACAGCAGCACACACAGACCTCCTTAGGGAAAAGAAGGCATTTATTGAGAGCACAATTCATATTGATAGCATTTTCTGCAGAGCTAAGACAGGACAGCAGCTCCTTGGATAATTGGGAGAACACAATGAGTCCCATGAGATTTAGGAAAATCTCTAACACCTCCCCAGGTTTACATCCCTCTGACCTGACCAGGATAAAAGCAGGAGCTCTTTATAAACTGAGTGCCAGCAGTGTGGGTTGCTGACATTGTTTTTTCTTACTGACAGGAACCTTTTCCTCCCTATAAAAAGCAGGAATAGGTTTCAGCTCAGATTCGTGTTCTAGCTGTAGAGCTACACAATTTCACTGAAAAAGGTTTGCCCTGTTACAGGGCAGGCATCCTCCTGGTTGTGGTGGTTGCTGATTGGTTTTTGTTGGTGGGGGAGAATTATTTTGGTGGCCTGGGGTTTTGGGTTTTTTTTCCTGGTTAGGGTGATTAGAAAACTCAAAAACCATGACATAAATACAAATCATTCCTGCAGCCAGAAACAAGTTTTGATTCTGAGGTTCTTAGACTGTTGTATGATTCTGGCAAGTGAGGTATTTAGCAGTGTGGTTATTAAAACTTTGCCCTCATCACCAAAATAGATGTTGATTATCCACTTTTCCCCTAATTATTGGCTTCTGTTGAGTACAGAATTCTGTCTAAAACAGGACAGAGAAAGTCATGCCATGGATCTTCAAGTCCTGCCTCTTACATGTACCCTGATTAATTATAAGCTTATTAATATTTGTCATAATTATGCCTTTTATGGTTTAGTAAATCTTTTTTTTTTTTCTTCTTGTCCTCTGGTCAGAAAAGAATAATAATAATTATAGTAATCAGGAAAAAATGGCAGTAAAAAAAAAATCAATAAAAAGAGGACCATAGAGGAAAAGATTTGCAACTGTGTTAAAAATTAAGCCAAATGTGCTCAAAGCAGCCTGTGAGTTTGGGTTTGTTATTTTGTGTATGTATCACCCAGTAATTAAATATTTGTTATTTGCACTATGTTTACTGTATCTCAAGAAATTTAGTGACTTGATCACTGTAATATAATTTATTTATTATAATTCAAATGTACTTCTTTTGGAGGAAATGACTAGCAAATAGTCTAGAGGTTTATTATCATACATGAGTGACCAGTGGTTTTGTTCCTGAATACAATTGTTAGTGCTCTGTCAGCCATTGTAATGGATATTTCATTTTTCTCTTGTTATTTTTTCTTCTAGGCTTAATTTATGAAAATGAATTGTGTGTGAAGCCTATGGACTGTCCTTGTGACTACCATGGAAATTTCTTTCAGATGGGTTCAGTGGTTTATGAAGAATGTAATAATTGGTGAGTAACTTTTCTTTTTACATTGTGAACCAAATCCTTTAATGATCATAAGAAACAACTTCTTCAAGGCCAATTTCAGTTAGAAATTGGATAAACTTGGTAAGTACTCACTGTTTCAACATAACAAATTGTTGTTCTGTGTATGTTTTGAAGGCATGGAAAAGATAAATTGTGAAGCCATTAATGTGGAAGAAGAGAAAATGACAAATATTGCAGAGAATATTGTAATGTTTATGCTGTTTTTCACTTTGAACTCTCCCTTAAAAATAAAAACAATCTAGAATTCCAAATCTGAACGGGAGAACTGTGCTGACTTTGTGTCCTGTTTGTATTGTCCACTTGGACATCAAGAGCCTAATGTAATTGTGACATTAAGATGCTGTTCTGGAATTTCTAAGTTAATTTTATAAATTGGAAAGAAAAATGTGTAGGAAGAGAAAGTGCCTTTTATTGGATCACCTTAACTGAAGAAAATGGATGAGTTTGCAGATGTACAACTTTTTTTTTCCCCCCTAACAATTCTTAGTTTTAAAAGTCATAAGATTCAAATTGCTTGTGTTTATTCTTCTCAATGCTATTAATCCTTAACTTTCCTAATGATTATTAAGGAGCTAAAAAGAAATGATAGTGACACTGGATGTGTGGAGGAAATTGCACATGATCATGTCCTCATGACAAGATTCCAGCCATTCTAAGGACAGTGATAACTCCTTGTACCCTTTTGTAAGGCTCAAGCTGTGTATCATTCACAGAATTAAAGTATAAAATCTTTTTGTTTTGATTTCAGCACCTGCATTGGAGGAAAGTGGATCTGTACAAATTTCACATGTCCAGGTATGTGAAAGTCTTGAATACTTTACTGTTTAATACCTCAATTCTTACTTCAGTAAATATTACTTTTAGATGTTAATATGACGTTTCATTATGTAATTTGCATTTTTATTTCAATCTACACACTCAGTAGATTAAATATTAAAATAGCCCGGCTTAACAGTTAAATGTGTTAATGTTCCTGAAAATCAGTTTTGACAGCCACAAATCAAATACCCATAATATAAGGGTGACAAATCTTACTGTCCCCTTCTGAGGGAGGAGCAGTTCAGGTATCCTGGCCTGGCATCAGGCAGGAACTCCATAAGAAAAGCAAGGAAAAGTTTGGTTTCCTAATTGTACCATAACCACAATTTTCTGAGTTACAGGATGTGTCAGAGTGTATGAGCTGTGGGGAGTGTGCTGTGTTTATGCCCTGTTTATGTGCATTATTTGGTATTTTCCAGCCGAGTGCTCAGTGTCAGGAGACTCTCACTTTGTGACGTTTGATGGGCGCAGGTTCACTTTCCAAGCCCCCTGCCAGTACATCCTGGCCAAGAGCCACAGCTCGGCAGCCTTCACCATCTCCCTGCAGAATGCTCCCTGTGGACAGGTAGGGCTCGCAGCCTTCTGGCACATTCGTGCCCTGGAGGGCTTTAGTTCAGGGGGATAAAAGGCATTCCAGAAGAAAAGCAAGCTGCAAGCCTGTGGAATGTGTAGCTGATGCTGAGGGTGCTGTTGGAGGTGATTCTAAGGTTGGTCCTGTTTTATATTTGGAAGTTTCTGATGCTGTGCACAGGTGTCACCGAATATTTTGTCTGCCTTCTGTCCAAAACCTGTTCTTTCCTTTATTTTGTATGTCCATTTCTGTCCAATTTCATCTATTTTACAACTCTCTGTGAGGTGTGGAACACTGGTAAGGTTGTTGACTACAGAGTTTCAAATAAATGTCTCTCCTGTGGTTTCTAGGAGGAGTGCATCAGGATACCAGGTGAGATATGGACAGGGCCTAGAAAAGTGGATTCCTGGGTAGCAAATAAAATTACTGTGTGACACTCTAACAGCCTTTAGCTCTTTGAGCTAGAAGAGTTACAGTGAGGACTGTGAAATGAAATGAAATGTTGGCAAGGACATGCATATTTAAAAAGCTTCTAGGCTTTAAGCTCTGTGTGCATTATTCTTGTGATCCTGCTAGTATTTCTAGTTTATAGGAAGATTGAGGCTGTTTCAAGGTCTATTTGGTTATTGTTACAATTCCCCACTGTAACTGCATATTTTAGTTAGCTTGGTTTTGTTTTAGCAAGTTGGGCTGGCTTCATTTTGGAATCCTGAGGAATTGATTAAGTTAGTATCATCTCGGTGAAAAAAAGAAAATAAAAAGCATAGCTGAGAAACCAAACATAAGCATGCATCTATTCAGTCAGTGTCATAGTCTTGGAATTTTGCAGAGTCCAAGAAAGGTGGTTGTGTATAGTGTAGCTGTACTTTATCATGGAAGAAAAGCAAAGCAAATCCCCAGAGAAGCTGTCCAGGAAACTTTTTTTTATCAAAGTTGAGTTGAGGCCAAAGTGGCTTTTTGCAGAAGCTCCCAGCAAGGGACCTTGCAGCCTGACCAGTGTGAAAACCCCTCAGCTGAGCAAATACCTGCTGTGGAAATGGGCACAGCATGGATGTGTGTCATTCCTTTGTGTTAGGAACAGTTCAGTGTAAAAACCAGACAGAATTGTGCTTCTTGGTTTAGTCTTTGTGCTTAATTTTTGTTGGGGAAAGTGAGAACCAAGCTGGTTTGCTTTCTGCAGCTTTGCCTTGCAGTAACTCCTGAATTCTTCAGCCTGCCTTAGTGACTTTGCTTCATGTGCCTCTGGGCCCAGGTGGTTTGTAGGTAAAAAAACCCCAGATTCTCTTGGTTTCTGCATGGTGGGTACTTCACCCAGCCTTGAGCAAAGGTGACCTGATCAGTCCCTGGCAGGTATAGATTGTACAGAGTGCAGCGTTCTGGGTGTTAACAATCAGTGGGTAATCAGAAGATTATGGGATATCAGGGCTACATGCTGCTCATTTAATTATCAGTGTACAGGTGGTAGGAGGGCTGTGAGAACAGGTTTTGTAGTTTAATGCAAGAATGTGGGGCTTCAGAGCAGCTATTCAAGTGTCTAATTTTCAACCAGCTGGTACCACTTGGCAGCAGAGCTGCTTTTCAGTTCCCCAGGCACCCTCCATTATCTTTTTTTCCCATTTATTAAAATTAATGAATTGAAATGGGAAGCTGAAAGATTTGTAATGTGGAATCTCATATTTCTTGATGGTTTGAGATTTGATGTGCTTCTTTAAAAAAGCCTTATCACTCCCATCTCATTCAAGCAGACTAGAAAATGTGGAAAGAAAATACCTGGGGAGATTTTAGCTTTCTGAATCACAAAGAATCCAGTCATCCTGAGCCTTCGAGTTGGTGACATAAACAGTCATCAGGCAACAAGTTATTTCAAAACGATGTGAAATTTTGTTTAAGCACTTTCTGGAAGGAGAATCAGTCAAGTGATCAGCACAGCTTAACCTTATCTGAGTTTCAGGTGACAGCCTCACTGGCTTTGTAGTTTGTATGATGAGAAGGTCTTCTGAATATAGATTTTTTTTATTTTTTTTTTTAAAGTGTCTAGTGAGAGAAATGGCCATTCCTGTGAAAACACCTGCCAAAAGCTGGCAGGGGCAGTGCTGTGAAAGAAACATTCTATTGGAACAGAGAACAATTGTCAGGCAGAATTTCTCCTCCAGTTTAAGCCTGAAGGAATAATAAAGCTTTTGTTGATGCAGTGTAGTAATGTATATACTGTGTAGGGTTGTTTTCTTGGTTCTCCTCTGCTCTTCTGCTCTTCATGCCACCTGCTGTTCTTTTATTCAGTTTTTAAAAGACCAACAGTATTGTCAATTTGCAGCCATTGCTGCTGAATGAAATGCACAGAAACCAAATTTCTTAGTAAAGAGGCAAGACAGCAAGATAAGCCACAAGCACATGGCTTCACAGGGCAGAATTCTGTCTTCACTGGAACTCCAGGAGAGCTGGCTGAGCTGATGAAATATCTCCAATTATTTTTATAACTTCCTATTTCCAAGTTTCATTTTATCACTTCGTCTGCTGCTGAAAGATCACTGTTGCATTATTATCTAGGGACAGGGAAATTCTGCATGTAGTTTTTTATCTTTACACACTGTGTGTACTTGTGTCCATGGTGTTTGAAGAGCTGACAGATGATCTGCTCTGCTGCTAGTTCAGCATCTGTCAGAGCCCTGTGGTGCTGCCCAGGCATCCTTGCAGCTCTAGGAATGGTTTTCCACAAGCAGGGAAACGTTTGCCCTGTGTTAAACAAGGCCCAGTGCAAGTCAGAGAGAGTTAATAAAAGTGTAAATCTTTGAGGTGAATTCTGATCTCCTGTCACCGTGAATGGTGCCATTCACTGTATAATTTTGATGTTTGTGCAACTGTCCAAAAGTTATCTTGACTATTTCTTCAGTGTCAGCACTGAAGCAATTAAAACTTGACTGTTTAATCATCAGCCATGCCTTCACTGGAGGCAGTGGGGCTGGGTGATGCAGCCTCCAGCACCTCTGGGGTTATTCCTTGGCTGCAGATCCAACCAGTGCAGAATTTCCTGCAGGGAGACCCAGACTGCTCTTTGACCAAGGGATTTCACACATGTCTGTGTCTGTTCTGGACTGTTTTGAATTTGTGCTCAAAATGGTGTTGTGGCAGCATTGAGACATGGAAGATGCATAATGGAGATGAGAGTAAAATGAACAAATAGTGTGACAAGAGTGGACCCAATTTTTGCCATTTTTCTGGAATAGCTGTTAAATGGATACAGGGTCTTGCAGTGGAGGAGGCTGGACAGGAGAAACAGGAGTTGGCTGCTTCCCCCTTTCACCTGTGGATGGCAGGGAATGGACAGTCCCAGCTCCATCCAGCCACACTAAGCCAGTGTAAATAAGTTGATGTCTCAAGCTATGGTCAAGAGATTTGAATGTAGTATGGGCTGTCAGAAACCTAATTTCCCTCTAGATCAATGAGCCAAAAATGGAGACTGGGATTCTTATGGCTTTTATCATGTAGCAAGGTCAGTGCTGACATGGGGAGGTTGAATTCATCTCTCAATCCAACTCTGTGCCTGATTCTCTTTGCTAGAATTTCTCTTTTTAAAAAATTAAATAGTGATGAAATTCAGCCTGTTAAGAAAAATCTGCTAATCTGCTGTAATTAATATACTTGCTTTAACAAGCATTCTTTCCATATTGACATTGGAAGCCAAAGTACCTGTAGTTACTCTGCAAAGTGGGAGTCCTGAAAATTGATTGTAACTGACTTCTGTTCATCACTGCTCTGACTTGTTTCCATGTTAATTAATGGAGATGTTTGTTGTAGAATTTCAGTCAATTAGCTGCTTTTGGTACCGTTGACAATTAAGTTTCACTGAAGAGTGTGGGTATAAAAAGAAGTAAATAGAATTGGTCTAGGATTGTATTTTTTTAATAATGTTTTTTTCTAGACTGCAGTGCAGTGTTCTTACTCATGTTTTTTTTCTACATGACATTTTGCCTTGGAGAAGTGAAATGTAAATGAGAATGAGCAGTGGGAGCAGCAAGAAGCAAGCTGGGCCAGTTGGATGTTGGGATACTCTGTGCTGTCAGGATGCTGTGTGTTACATCAATATTCATCCACAGAGCTTATGAACATGCTCCACTCTACAACTCCCCTCAGAAATAATGAACTTCAGTACTGATTTAAAAAATGATTCACGAGATGCTTCTGTCTTTCATTAATGTTTGCCTTCAAAAGAATTTTAGGTCTTAAAATATGCTTTATAAGACCCTGGGTATGTCAGAACACATTACAGTACAAATCTGGAGGTTTGGTGCATTGCTCTGTAGATAATGCAGCATTGTTAGTGAGCATCAACTCAGCCTCAGTGGATCATTTAATCAGGGTGTCTCATGAATTGTGTGTCTTAGTACTAAGCTCTGTGAGAATTGTTTAAATTTCTCTTTCCAAATCCCACTTCTGCACTGTATTTGCATAGCAGGTTATTGTTATAATTAAACACATTTGGGAAATAATTCCAAATACTGATTTGGTTTTTTTATTATTATTATTTTTTTTTTACTTAGCTGTAAAGCTGCATGTTTCATAAGTGCACTCTGCTAAGGAGCAGGGTATATCTTAAAATTGTCAATCCCCACGAAGTCTAACCTGTCCTGTTTGCTCTGCTCTCACATGCAGAACCAGGATGGATCCTGTATCCAATCTGTCAGCCTTATTCTTAAGCAGGACCCCAAGAGACAAGTGACTCTGACTCATTCAGGAGATGTTTTGATCTATGACCAGTACAAAATAAACCTGCCCTATGCAGATGGTAAGGAGAAATAATAATCATATAACTCTTATCAAACACTAGAGCAGTATGTCAATGACATTTGTGCAATGACAGTTGTGGTAGTGTCAATATTAATATTGCTAACATAATGAGGTTAAAAGGGATATTTTATATAGTGCCAGTATTGTTATTATGAAATTCTTCACAAATGAATTCTTGATGTATTTTTTACACTAATGGTAGGAGTTGTGCAGTAGCTGCATTGGGCTATTTGTCTCTTACATTAAGGTTTTGTTCATTTTAATGAGTCCAAATGCCATCCCTCACATTTTCAAGGTTTTTTTAGTTCTTGCTTGAGGGGAAATTCTTCTGATTCTTGAATTGAATCATTTCTTCTCCCATTTTTGGAAGCAACTCACGTAAATTTAAGCAGAGAGAACCCTACTGCCCCTTAGAGATGAGCTATATATTTTCAGCCAAAAAAATTTATTTTGTTTCTTTTTGCTCTGAGGTTTTAAATCTCTGTCCTGAAGGTGTCTGGAATTCTGCATAGGAATATATGACTGTTAGATTTATTGTTATCTTTAATGAGAGTTTAATATGCAAATCATTAGTTCATTTGATGTCTGCAAGGCTTTGGCTCTTTGGGAATTTCACAAAAACGTTTTTAACACAGGAATCCTGTTCCTGGTTTTAGGGTTAGTTTCTCTACTCATAGTGGTCTGCAATGTTTATATCTTTAGATTGATTTCTCTTAGTTTGCCTTTGTGGATATTTCAGTGAACTCTCAATGCATTTTTAAAAAGTGTGGTGAGCCTCACAGGTTTCTTTTTTAGTTCTTTAAGTTTGAATCAGGATAACCTTTCATGAGAAATTAATGTTTAGAGGAAAATAGGGCCTTAATAGGAAAAAAAAGGCATTTGAGCCAACGGCAGTGAAATGACAAGAAACAAAATGAAAGGCAAAGGAAACCTGATGGAATTTTACAACAATGTCTGGTTTTTATTCCCCAGAGTTATTTGAAATACGGAAACTCTCCTCAATATTTGTGCAAGTGAAGACTCAGATTGGGCTGCAGATCCTGTATGACAGAGAAGGACTGAGGCTTTACCTGCAGCTGGATGGGCAGTGGAAGGATGACACCGTGGGCCTTTGTGGAACCTTCAATGGAAACACAGAGGATGATTTTCTGTATGCAGAGCTGCAAGATTTCTGTCTGCCACTATATGGGTATCTGTAGTTAGAGTGGGAGATCAAGTGTGTATTGAAGCTGAAAGGATAAATACCAAGAATAATTGATTTTGAAGTTTTGAATTAGTGAGAGAGATAGCAGGGTTCAGTTTGCTAACAGCAAGCCTTAGCTTCAGCTACAGGATATCAAGCCAGGTTTTGCTCAAAATATTTTAATATAAAATTATTGTGAAATATATATGATACACAAGGGCTGTTTTACCAGAAAAAATGTTGCCCCCCAAAAAGTGGCTTATATAAGGAACTTTCTGCCTCTCTGCAAGGCTCTTTCTCTTTGCAGCTCCTGTTTTCTCCTGTGAGCCCTAAAATATTGTGTGTGACAGAGCCTCCATTGTTCAGTGCCTGCAGCCCAGCCACAGGAGCTGGCTGCTGCCTTCCCTGTGCTCAGGGCTGCCCAGGCACCACCAGCAAAGCTGCTGCTTGCCCAGTTTCTCTGCAGCACATGTCTCTCCAATCAAATTGGCTTCCAGTGGATCACAGGAGCCTAATGGAGCTGGGAGAAGTACACAAATTTAGGGCACAACAGGATAAAAAAAGGAAACATAGAGAAACTTTATGCTCTCAGAAGAGCTGGAATTTTTCTGTCTCAAAACTAACTGGAAAATGGAAAAGCTTTCCATTACAGTGCCCATTTAACAAGACAGATATACAAATATACAGATATACAAATATAGTGGAATTTTGCACAGTTTCAATGTTACAGATTGCAAAGTATTATCAGATTATTATTGATAATGAGACTAGAAAATACATAGCATCTCAGTGAAGAGATATTTATGTAAAACTACTTCAGACATTTCTGTTTTACAGAGTATTTTTGACAACAGTCTCTGGATTGCTGTCATACAAATGAGAAGCTGTACAATAGTTGGTATTTGTAAAAAAAAAAAAAGGCCCTTAAACCTGTGCTGAGACACGACACAGACATCAAGGTGGCATCAAGGCAATTGATGCACACACAGCCAAGCTGATCCACAGCAGATTTGGGAGCCTTGCCACAGGCAGTGGTGTCTTCTGGAGCAGCCTCACTCCCAGCTGTCCCTGGCAATATTCCTGACTGTGTCCAGTGCAGTCTTTTCCCTCAAGTCCAACTCTCCATGTTCAGTTTTGACCATTCTCTGTACAGCACTGCTGTGCCTTGGTGGTTCTGATCAAAATCTTTATTATTCAGCTGGTGTTACCTGGGTCTCAGGTATCTGTTCCATTGCTTGTGTGTTTCTGGAGGCTTGGGACTTTCTTTTCCCTTTGCTGCAAGGAATAAAGAGCCTGGGAAGTCAGCAACAGAGAGGAAAGTATAGGTAGAGGAGAGATTAAAAATGGGTCAGATATCACTAAGGAGCCAAAAGGACAAAGGACTTCAAACTATCTGGACAGTGATGCTCCCTGCTCTCTTATAAAAATGGAATTTGGTCTATTTTGATTTTTTTCTTCCTTAAAAAGTCTCTAGAGCACATATTTTTTTTTTTTCTGAGCCTGTAACAAAAAAAAAAAAAAAAAAGGAGTCCTGAAACTTATGATTACAGTTTTATGGGCGAGTGAAGGAGAATATAGAACAGTGAAAGAGGAGCTTGAATCAGAGGCTGTAAGAACTGAGCCCACCCTGTAAATTCCCTCCACCTTTTCTGACTTGACTCCTGTTTTGTCCAAGCTCTCCAGTTGGAGTAACAGAAAGCACTCCAGAGCTGTTTGGAAACACGTGGAAAACGTCCTCGGCGTGTGCTGCCGGGCAGGGCAGCTCCCGGCTGGACCCGTGTGATGTTCATCTGCAGGCAGGTGGGCAGGAGGCCAAAGTCACCCTGACAAATGCATTTCTGCTCAGCACATCTGTGCCCCTTTGCACAGAGCACGTGCAGGAATAACCAGTCCTGCCCTTTGGAGAAATTAGTACCTAGGGGTAGTGTAGAGGCAGCTGAGTTCAATCCCTCAAAAAAATCACGTCGTGTGTTATTTGAGGATTTTGTAATACTTGCAGAGGTGTTTGAAATACTTCATCTTTATTTCTGGTTTGTAGTTACCCTGTATGAAGTCAGACAAGCATTAAGGCTTGGTAGAACCTCTTGTATGGGTGATGCTGCTAGTTGAGATGGAGACTCAACAGCACAGCAGTATTCATTATTGAGAATGCTGGAAAAAAAACTAAATACTTGATTTAGTTGTCTGCTATGGAAGAGATGAGTAGGAGAAAGATGCTTATGCACTGCCAGCCTATAGATTTGGCTGAAAAAGTCCAGTTGGGATAATATGCAGGTGGCTGATGCCATGAGGACCAGAGATGATCACTAAGTCATCCTTTAATAATGATGAACTCTGTAGATCACTTAATCTGTTTGACAATTCCTACCACTTCTTTTATTGGACACATAGAGGTAGAATATTAAGGTTTTTGCTGTAATTTCAGCAGTGCTAGGGAATTGTCATGTCTCCTGCTACAACATCACTTGTCTCTTGAGTATTTGCACAATGTGCAGAGTTAAAAGCTGCATTCTTGGCAACAGACTGGGACATGAATGTTGGTCCTTCTGTAGAGCTGGATAGATAGCAAAGATAAAAAGATTTATGTGGCAATAGTATATAACCATGAATGGTTGCATTGTATAGAAGACACTTTTTGTTCTCAAGTCTTTTGAAACTGCCTGACTGAAACAGTTTTTAATCTGTTATTTGTGTAGCCTCTTATGCAGCGGAAGCTTGTAGCATCCTTACGAAAGATCTTTTTGCTCCATGCTACCCCTATTTGAGCCCTGTTCCCTATTTTGAGCAGTGCAGAAGAGACACTTGCAAATGTGGACAGACTTGTTTTTGCTCTGCTCTGGCTCATTACGCTCATCACTGCCGAAGGTTTGGAGTTGTAATCGATTTCAGAGGAGCTGTCCCAGACTGTGGTGAGTTCCCTTTCACTTCTAGACTTCAATAATTACTGCCTTTTAGAGGACTTTAGAGACAATCAGAAAATAAAATTAAATCAGCACAGTCTTTTAAATGAGAAAAAGATTAATTTTACTGTGACCTTTTATGCACAGGACAAGGTTCTTTTTTTAAAGAATTTTCTGTCAAGACAAAATTCATACCAGTGTTTTTAGTGGAGTCTTCCTTTATAGTTTACTTTCTGTAGTTGTTTAACTTATGAAACATTTAAAATATTTCTGAAGTAGTTGGAGGGCTTCAAATGTATTCTGAATTCAAAATGTCTGGCCTTATTATATGGCATTACATATCTCATACCATATTGATATTATTCATGAACTGCATAAATAGATTTCTTTTCCTTGTAGATGCTAGGTTTATCTAAATCTTTAAGTGAACGGGATGAGGAATGACAGTATTTAGCAGTTTTAGTTGGGTTACTGTTGACTTCTGCTGTCTGACAATCTCTTGGCTTATTCTTACTGCCAGTGACACTGAAATGCAAAGTGCTGAAGCAAGTGTTGAAACTTGGTATTGTTGTTGTTTAGTTTAAAATGAATAAAGGAATCTAGAATATATGTATCTTTATAGATAAAGGTGACATTTGTTATCTTCTCCATAAAGCCTTACAAGCAATGGATAATATTAAATTGTTTAGTTTATATCCATTTTTAGTGATGTGAAAAATATTGACAGGACATGTTGGGTCCTCACATACGTTTTTTAAAAAGTATAGAATTGGAAACCCTATCAAACAACCTGAGACTGACACCTCTGATGCAGGTCTGGCTCTGTTAACAAGTCTGAGAATCTTTTCTAAGGAGCATTCAAAACTTAACATTTAGCAGTTGTCATCACATCATGTAATTATCCATGTTGTAATACATGATAAAGAGAATTAAACATGTCAAGGTGGAGTATCTGTGTGTATATCTGACCAGACTGCCTTGTTTGCATTTATTATGGCATGAATGGTTGTGTCCACTTATGATTGAATGAGTCATTCTGGCCATTGGATTTTATTTTACTTTTCTGGAAAAAAGTATCGTTTTCTTAGAGTGTATTTAAAAAGTCATGCTTGTAGCATTTAAAATATGTGAATCTGTAAGTATTTAAGAGCTTCAGTATCTTTTTAGTAGAGATTTATAAAAGATATATATGTGTAAGAAAATGTGATATGGTACTGTGCAGCATCTGTGAAGTAAATGTGTTTTATCTGAAGCTTTTAAGTTGTTTTTTTTAAGGTGCTGTGCATTTCCAAAAGCCCATGCACAAGTGCCAAGTGTGTTCAGAGTTAGAGGCAAAAAGGCTTCAGCTGTTTGGTTCCCGCTGTGTAAATCTGGATTAAGTGCACAGACTCCTCGCACTTGTTATCCCTGTGTCTGTGTAGTTTACACAGCAGAGTGCCAAGATGGCAATTTTGGTGGAATTTAACGTGGTTGGGAAGGAAAGAATGGAGATGTTCATCAGAGAGCTGCCGGGAGGGGCTTGATTGTCTTGCGGTGTAACTGGAGAGCTTTGTTTCCTTTGGGCAGCTCTTTCATGTGAAGACACAAAGGAGTACAGTACCTGTGGGTCTACCTGTGGCAGGACCTGCCAAGCCCTGTCTGTGCCAGAGGCATGCAGCAGTGACTGTGTGGAAGGCTGTGCTTGTCCCTCTGGAATGTTCCTGCATCCCCAGAGCGAGCGCTGCGTGCCCAGGTGGGTGAGGCTGCAGCTCTGCTCTCACACTCCAGACCACCACCCTTGCAAGCCAGAGTGGAAAACTGGTGAACTTGGACCCTTGGAGATGACACACCTCTGTCAACTTGACAGGGGCTCTTGGAATTATACAAAACCGAGGTCTGTGCTGATCAAAAATAGCTTTTCTAGAACGTGGATGCTCAGCCAACATCACCAGGGCTAGCTGTTACATTCTGTCTGGTTTTTGGCATGTAAGAAATACAAAACATAAGATTCCATTTTCCCACTGATTTGGTTTGAAATGTACTTGAGTTATAAGGCAGTATTGAGATCAGTTTCTTGTGTTTAAAAAAATAAACACTAAACAACCACAAAACCATTGGCTAACAGAAAAAACCTCACCAAAACCAAGAAAGCAACTGACATTTTAACGGCAAGTAATGGGAATTTTATCTTTTTTTCAGTTTGGGTTAATCAGTTACCTGGTTTTCCTCTGTTCCAGAAATGAATGCCCATGTTATTTCCAAGGAATTGACTATCCCCCTGGAGAACATGTCATGACATCTTTAGGCAAATGGTAAGATACTGTGAAAACTGTTTTCACATAACTAAGTTGTGTCACTTTAAGAGCTCTATCAAATAATTTTGGGTAGTTTGTTGGGTTTTCTTTTTGTTGTTTTAGTTATTTTTAAATGAAACCTGCAGAATAAACCTGCATCAGTTTTCTGTGTTTGACAAAGGTACTTTAGAACTTAGGCTTTTCAGGCTGCTGTGCTTTGTAATGCAATAGATTGAGGTGCAAACAGAAAGAAAAGCCACAATAATTTCTTATATCCATACTAATGTGGAGAGCTCCAGAAAAGCACAGACATTTCCTGACTGTCCACAGATCTTCATTGCTATTCTCCTTCCCTTTACCAGAATCTTCTAAATCCATTTATGAAGAATTATTAAGAATCTGTCTTCCACTAGTATAGAATCATTGTAAAAACAGCAGTGTGGCTTTTATCAGCTAAGAAACAGCACAAAAATCTGTCAGCTGCAGCCAATGTAAATAAGCATCTCTATTCCTGTTCCTTACATTTGATATTTGTTCTTGTCCTCTTGCTCTTCAATTGGCATCACTGCAGCCATGCCATTAAAGAAGAAAGCTTGTGAGATGATCCTGGCTCCTGCCAGATGCATCCTTTTCAGCAGTTATTTGTCTGGAGAAGGTCAAGTGATGTGGATGACAAGTTCTGTAAATAACAAGCTTTCAGGAATTATATCTGAGCTCTCACTGCCTGGATCAGTTGTTACAGCATTTAATTAAGAGCAGAGCAGACCAAATCATGTCTGTGATAGATCAGGGTAGTACTTTAGTTTGTTACAAAGAGATTGGTGTTCTCAGACTCCTGTTGCAATGGGGGCACTTGGTAAGCACACACAAACTTTCTCACTCGTGTCAGCAGCCCATAAATACTGATTATTATAAATCCATGTATTGCTCATCGAGTTAGCTTATTTTTTTACCTTAGGGCAGATCCCCTAAGTGTGCCCATATGGGGCCCTGCAATGCTGGGTGCCCTGTTTTTATTTACAAAACAGCCCTGGCAGGCAAAAGGAGAAGCTTCTCCTGGTTAATCTTCAATCCTCCTCCTCCTCCTCCTCAAAGGTCTAGTTCAGCTGATATTGCTGACCCATGTGGTTAAATGCAGATCATGTGATTGTCCACAAATGTAGTTTTTATAAAATTGCCATAGACAAAAATCCTTTTTATCTTGATTGCAGTGGAATTTTTTGGGATCTGGCAGCTTATGTTTTTTAATAAAATTAAAATCTGCTGGTTTATAACTACCAGAATTTTAGCTAGAATCAGAGATCTGTCTCCATTTAGCCATGATTTTTACTTGAGGTGTATTTTTAATAAGGCTATATACAGATCTGTTGAGAGGAAAGGCTTTCAAATGTAGAGGCACAGACTGTCAGCTCCTGTGAATTGCTTTGTGCCAAGTAATTCCTACATTAGGAAACATGTAGGAATACATGTGTGGATAAACTGGAAAAAAAAATACTATGTGATGAAGTCTTTATTCTGTCACTTTCTATTAGAAACAGTTATGATCTTTAATATATTCTTCCCATCCTTTATTCCTCTCAATTGCTTCATCTTTGAAAATTCCCACTTTCAAACTGGAATTTCTTCTCTATGGAATAGCTTTTCTGCTCTGTTGCTTTCAACCAGTTCTTTAAAATATTTTCATTGATGTTATATCAGCCTTTGAGTTGCCTCTCTCTCAGTTCTTTCTGGTGCTCCTTTTCCTCTTGCCTGAGTGATGCTGTGCAGTCCCTGAGCACTTTTCCTGCAGGGCTTTGGGGTCCCTGCACGACTCCAAAAGTGTTCACAGGGAAGCTGTAACACATGAAAAAATTGATTCTGAATCTGCTGGCCAGCCATAGGAATCCTGGGGATGCTTTAACCACTGCAAAAGAGTGGGAAAATAATGCTGGATTTCATGGCTTCAGGTGAAGGCCAGGACCTGAAACTCAGCCAGCACTGCTACAGTTTTCCCTGACAATGAGTTGCAATAGGAGCTGCGACCATTTCAGAAAGCACTGGACTATTTTGGCTCAAATGAGAAAGGAGCAGACAGTGTTGGGTTTCTCAGTGCTTCCCTGCCTACAGTATCCTGTTGAGTTTTTGCAGGTTGGAACTGTTTCATGCAGGGGAAATGTGTTTTGGGGAGCAGTGTGGGGGTATATTCCTGTTTTTTTTTTGTTTTGTCAGCCCATGAATTTTAACTCATTATGATATTATGCATAAAGCAAGAGTTTGAGTTTAACTCATGTTCTTCGTGTGTTAAAGCAATGCACACTTTATCCACTCTTATAATCTTCAGTGCAAACACTTATAAAAGTATTTTCTATTGACTTATTCTGCATTACTAACCAGAATATATGAATATTTTAGATCTTCCTGGCTCTCAGTACGTCTTTGTGTATTTGTCTTGCAGCCATTGCAGGGATGGTGTCATGAACTGTGATAACAACATAGTAGGTGAGTGAAGAGAGGTACAGGATACTTGAGGTTCAGTGAATACATTTCCTCCAGTCTCTGTGGAACCCCTTGTCTGAACCAGAAGACAGTGCAACGTGTACAAATTAATAATGATATATTTGTGTGTTTGAGAGTAATGCTCCTGCTTTGTACCAGCCTAACTGTTCGAAATACTGTTAAATCTGAACAACATTTTTTCCCCCAGTACTTTAAAATACTAATTTTTTCTGACTGCTAACACAGATAAGCTTAGCTGCATGATAAGCAGCAGACCTTCAGCAGGGCAAACAAAGGCCAGCTTTGCCCCAAATATGTGAGGAGAGGCAAGTGAATGTTATTAATATTAGTGGTGTGTTACAAATGCTTATTGCACACACAGAATACAACATTTCTGGATGGAAGAAGGAGATGATGTGAAGACTAAAGGGTTTGTCCATTTTTTCCCCCAGCACACAGCTGCCCAGCTGGCCAGATTTATATCAACTGCAGCAATGCAGGGGTGGATGCTGAGCTGAGCAGAGAGAGGAGCTGTGAGAACCTGCTGCTGAACCTCACGTGGGCAGCACACCTTCCCTGTGTGTCAGGCTGTGTGTGCCCACCGGGGTGAGTACACACACACACACACACACACACACACACACACACACATCTGCATCTTCTGCTGCACAAACACGGCTGGGTCATTGTCCTGCTTGGACAATCCCAGGTGCAGAAGGCTGAGCATCAAACTTGTTAAGGCTTACCTCACAATCCTGGCTGTTAAAGTCATAATAAATGCTAAATCAAGAAACGAGTGGAGATAAATACTTTATAATGATATGGTCAAAACCCGAAGAATATAGAAATAGCACTGAAATAATTTTATTCAATCTGTGTTACAGCAGAATTGTGTTTATCTAGATTTTTTCCAAATATCTAACCTCTTATTTCTCTATGTGGCTTAGGGAGACAAGTTTATTTCTTCATAGGGATAATTTTCAGTATTTTTTCCCTCAAAAAGATCTCTTAAGTCTCTGAGGTTCCTGAGCACCTTTTCATATGACCTTCTGCTTTTCTGACTTGTTTTTAAGAAAAGAAGTATTAAAGTCTATCACTTAGTTCAGAGGAAGACTTCCATTCTGTTCACGTTACTGATGCTCTCTCAAAATTTATCTTGTTTTCTGGTTAGAAAAGTCAAATGCTCCCTGCTGCTTATTTTGTTCATTTTTTGCTTTCCTTGAACTCTATTACTGACCTTTGCAGGACGATCTGTGAGACCTCCAGAGAGCACATTTAAAGGTGTGCCCTTGTGGCTGCATAAATCACTTGTTGTTATCCTGCTGCAGGAGGGAGGGGAAGGAACTCGTGCAAGATACAAACTGTTGAAAACTGCTCTGCTGGAAGCTGGCAGAGTCTTTTTTTAATAATTTTTTTTATTGTTTTGATCCAGATTGGTGATCTTTGCAGAAGCAATGAACTGTTAGATAAGTCACAGGTGACATTAGTTCTGATGGTGCCTTTACCAAGACTATTTACATATTTGTGTGTGTGAATGCAGAAAGCTGTAGATAATAATGAGATAATCATGAAGGTAAACGTTCAGCAGAGTGATGTTGTCCATGTGTCTGTGCAGGTCACTGCAGGCTGGATGTATAAGCATCAAGGAAAATGTCTGATTCTTCAAAGAGGGGCTGTTCAAGGCCTCTCTCTGAGGGTGAATTCTTAGATCATTGAAATCTATCCATTTGCTTGGCTTTACAAGACAGAAAGCTGTTATCACTTTTTTTTTTTAAATCAGTGTAATAACGTGAGGAAAAACCTGCATTTAGTGTTGTTGTCAGTGTGATCTCTTTGTGTGTGAACGTGCCCTGTTCAGTTCTGAGCAGCTTTAAACCAGGGGGAATTTCAGTTTCCCAGCTGATTGTCTCCAAGAGAGACAATGCTCGAAATAAATCTGGATTACAAAGAGCACTTCAGCCACCCTGCAGGAAAATTTTGAGTTTTTGAGTTTAATGGGGGAGGAGGGTTTCTGGAGTTGCCATTCATAAGCCTTACAGAGCTGTAAATTCCTATCTGGTACAGAACACACTGAAGAGTCTGAGTCAAATACAAATCACAAATCTGTGCAATGTAATCTGCCAAGTACAAATTACCAGCTCATTAATACGAGCAAATAAAATGTTCTGTGATAAATTCCATGATGAGATGTTTCCTTTTGGGTAGCAGGAAAGCAAACCATTGTTGTTGCCCTGTTTGTCACAGATGTGCCTCACACCCATCACATCTTGCCCAAATGGTTGTTAAACCTCAGGAACAATGAATCTGTCAGGAGCACAGGAGAACCTGCACAAAATTTGTATTATTACAGAGAGGTGCTGGGATTCCAAACAACTTACATTGGGGGGAAAAAAAAAAATAAAATTACCTGGCCAAAAGTACCATGGGAAGAGACTGTTTATTTTCAGTACAAGTAAATTCCAGAGGTTAGAAACAGGGATAATCCTGGATGCACGGGGCCAGGAATGCTTTTCCTGTGGCCCTGGCACTTGATCTGCTCTGGATTTGGTGGGGCAGGGTCCCAGCAGGCTGGAGCTGCAGCAGAGGAGTGACAGACACTGCAGCACCTTGGCTCCAGCTTCACCTGCATTTGTCACCACAAATTATTGTTATTGCACCCCCAGGCCCCACTCTGGTGTCACTTTGCTTACCTGACAGCACTGCAATGTTTGTAAAGAAATGAATTGGGTTTTGGAAAAAAAAATACAACTTTCCTGGGCTCAGTGAAGTGATAGCTTATTGAATAAAATAACTCAATGCTTCTGGTGTATTTCCTGGCATTTATTTGTAGAATCTGCTTGAGATTTCTCTTTATCTCTCTCTTTATCTATCTCAGATTTTCTGAATGTTATCAAAAAGCTACAAACATTTTACTTGAAAATTAGGACTAGTTGCTCTATTGTCTTGCTAGGCAATAATTCTTCTGTTCTTTCCCTAGGAAAGTAATCTTTTTCACTTTTTTTTTAAATAGTTTTCCATTTTTACCTGAATGTCTAGGAGTTGTGTATGAACACAAATTCATAGCATTAGTCTTGAACTGTTATAATGAAAATCTCCTTTGAAGACTGTGAGGACACTTCTGCCTAAAATTGAGTATATTTGTAATTACTTGCATGAAGGTGCCTGCCATATAGAAATAAATCTTAATTATTGACTACAATAATTCCATGCAGCCAGTATAGCTCTTTTGGTATTGATTAAATTATTCATGGAGCCAGAGGTGCAACTACAGCTATAGAAAAACTGCAGCAAAATAAAACTCTTAAATCAGGGAAAGAAAAGAAGACAAGAAGAAATCCTGATTAAAAATCCTTAATTAAATATGTCACTAATTTTGGATAGTAAGAATACATTCCACTAGAACAAAGGGCTCTGATGGCTCCCACATCTCATGGATTATCTCTTGGCTTCAGTTAAATGCAATTTAATTGGCTGAGTTACAAAAAATTTGGTGAAATTCAGAGGATTTCTAGAAAGGCTTCGTTTCCCTGACCTTAAAATTTGTATTTTAATGAGTCAGTCTTCAGAGGGTTAGTGCCCAAAGTGCTGGCACTTAGGATTAAATATTAAATACCTGTGACAGGAAGATACCAAATTGCTCATAAATAATTATTAGTAAATTGTGCCTTTTCAGTTTCAGGAGACTTTAAATATTATTTGGGTCTCAATAACAAAACTGGTAACTTTAAACTTTAGGAAAATATTTTTCTACCTGGATACCAGCTGTAGTGCTGCTGAATGTGTATTTTTTGTTCTTTTTTGACAGTCTTGTGAAACATGGGGACGTGTGCTTGGATGCAGATGAATGTCCGTGCTCATGGAAAGGAAAGGAATATTTTCCAGGTGACAAAGTCATTTCTTCCTGTCATACCTGGTAAGTGGACATCTATTTAAGTGATGAATTCATTTTAGTTGTGTATTTGTAGGTGGATTTTTTTTTCTTTCTTCACGTGTTTTAATCATAAATTTCACAGCCGATTATCTACTGATTATGTAAACAGATTATCTAAACCATCTACGTTGACTTTGCATTTGCATTTCTTCAAAGAGCAATTAAAACTGGTTCGGGTTTTGTCCTTTCAAAGTGCTTTACACAACGAAATAACAGTGAGTTGGGATCTTTTTAGTTTTTAAAAATCTTGATTTAGAAAATGACTTTTTTTTTTTTTATTTTCAAGGTTATGGCTAGTATTCCTAAAGTGCAGGTCAAATCCCTTAAATATTACAGCTGAGTGACATTTTTTAAAGATCTTTTTACTTATTCATTTTCACATTTAGCACTGAGTCTGAGCAGTCTAGAGACCAGAACAAAACCCTGTGTCCTTTAATATGCACCCAGTACTGTGTGAAATCAGGGGGAGCACTGAGCAACCTCGAGCAGCAGCTGAGATTGGCGCTGGCTTTGTGTGTGTGGATTACTGGGGACTCAGCCCAGTTCAGAGGCAGAATTCCAACAGGCAGGGTTGGCAGGATCATTCCAAGGCAGCAGGGTTTTACTGGGCAGGGCTGGGGATGCAGCACTGCCCTGCCAGTGTCCCCAAGCACTCTCAGGAGGGTTTCACTGACATTTTATTTTACTGAGCCTCACGGGGCTGTGGAAATGCAGCGCCGGCTGCCTGATCCTGACTCGAGCTCCTTTCGTGGCCATCTCTGCCTGCTCTGCTCTCTGTGTTTGTGTCACAGAGCCTCAGAAAAGCCAACTGTGCTGGGCTGTGGCTGCAGAGCAGGGCCCTTGTGGTCACTGCACTAAAAGGAGAGAGGAAGGACAGCAGCACCCACGGAGCTCTTTGGGGGAAAAAAGGCCAATTTATTGTACAGACAGCCCGGATTTAAAGTGTGTCAGTGCGGCCAGGACAGGACAGGAGCTCATGGGACAATTGGGAAAAACATCCTTGGGACAGCACCTCAGGATGTGTCCCACGGGAAAGACACCAGGGGTTAATGTTGGTGATGAATTCCACTCTGTTTGTCACCATGTTGTCACCCTGGGAGACTCCTCCCTAACTGAAGCTGCAGTCAGCTTGTCAGCCTGGGAATGGAGCTGAGAGTCAGGAGAAATCCAGGCCTGGAGAGGATTCCCAAGCTGGAATTCCCCAGCTCTCAATGTGTGTCCCCAGCCCCTCGTTGTCCCTGCCGTGGCTCACCAGGAGTGTGTAGCTGGCGTGTCCTGGGAGCTGAGCTCCTGCCCAGCCCAGGGAAGGCTCTGCCCTGTCTGGATGTCGTGCCCCGTCCAGCCTTGTGCTGACTGCCTTCCTCTGCCTCTCGTCAGGTCCTCAGTAGCTGCTCTAGAAGAGATTTGTAGCCCTCTGGTCGACTGGTGAAGCGACTTAGAAGCCGTCTCCAGTGGGCAGGCAGGTAAAGCGACCCGGGTTCTTCACCCCCTTGTTTCCATTTGGACCTGCTGTGGGATTGCTTGCATCACAGACAATTCATTTATCCCATCTCATCTCTATGAGACTTCACCAAAGGCAGAAGTGCAGGCAGAAAGACAATGGATATTTAGCCTTCTCTTTATTTTTTTTTTCCCTGAGGTGACACTTGTTAATTCATGCACAAATCCTTCATGTTGTTGTGGCTTTTGTAGTCTTCCGTGTCCAGAATCAAAAATAGATTAAGTAATAATGGCTTTTTAGCAATCAGGTGCTCACGAATAGAGGGGAGAATGCAACAAGCTCTGCTTGGTACAGAGCATATAAAATCTCTGAGTCTGCTGAGTGGGTTTGCCGAGGTGTATCTGATAGCTAAAGGAAAGGTGCAAAGCATGAGAGTGCTTCTGTGCAAATAAACACACTTAGGCATCCAGAAAATTATCAAATAGTGGGGTTGGTGCATTGAATTAGTGTGTGCTGATACTAAATATCATCTTACTCATACGTGGTGTAGTGTTAGCAGCATAAATACTGATCTGGTTTTTCTGTTAACAGTAGCATGACAAACAAAGGAATTTCATAAGTTGGCCAAACTCCCTGTGAATGGACAGGAACTTCCAGCCCAGGCTCTGGGTCTGACTGACCTGTGGTTCTAGATTTCCCAAGTTCAGTTTTCAGTGCAAGTACCTGAAATATGTAGCATGTAGTGGCAACATTAAACACAACATGTTCTAATGCTGAGGCTGTCAGAGCAGCATTTTGATGGGCTGCTGTGCCAGGTCAGGTGAGTTTGTGCAAGCAGGTGTGCTTGTGTGCTGTCACCATGCTGGGACCACTGAGCAACTCCTGGTCACTCTCTGGGCTGCTGGATTGAGCCCCCTGCATTCTTTAACAAATGCTTCTTAGAAATATGCTTTATAAAACTCTATTTGAAGTTTAGAAGGTTCTAATAGCTCAGCTTTTCCAGCTAGGGCTCTCTAGAGTCTGTGAACTAAATGTTGGTTCACTCAGTATGAAACAAGGCTGGTGTGGGGGACTTTAAAGGCATTGTGTACCTCTTAATTCCTTCCTTCTGACCATAAATGTTTTCCTGAAAAAGAGAAAAGGATCTCCCTAGGCTTTACATGTAAAGAAATGTTTCTGCACAGGCCCTTAAGAGATCAGCATCTGGAGAAGGATTTGAATGGGCCAAGAGCAAAACTAAAACCTGATGTCTCAGGAGAACATGAGAAGCAGCACTTTTTCCAGTCCAAACATAAATTCTTGTGTTTGCCTCTCTCCATCAGCTCGATGAGGTTCTCTCCTTTGGTGCAGTTCTGAGGTGACTGCAGTGAGCCAGTCCTATGCCATGTCCTTGTGCTTTGGGGCAGCAAACACTTCTCACATGTATTTTCAATTTATTTTAGCCCTGTTTTTAGTGTATGGATGTATATAGTGATGCCAAACACAAGCAGTGGATCAAATCAGCGATGGGATAAGCAGAGCCTTGGAAAATCTGGGCACTGGCTCCACGTAGGTGCAAATTAATTGCTGAGTGAACAGGAGGAAACCTGATGCTGCCAGTAGCTGGAGCTGCCTGGATTTTCCAGGTATTTGCTGCCCTTTTGAAAACAGTGGTGTACTGGCACTGTGGTGGGAATATGAAGGAAAAGTTACACTGACAAAAATTTATACTGAGAAAAAACTTCACATGGCCTGCTGCTTCTGTATATAAAATGTCAATTGTTAGAGATTTATCCAGTATTTCTGTAAGTCAGATTAAGATTTTAATTGTAAAATATTCAGCATTCATTTAATGAGGAAATTCTCTTCTTTTAAAGTAAACTTAGACATGTACCAAAATTATATCACATGCTATATTTAGTTTAACCTATGTTTATAAAGGTAGCTATACTAAAGCTATGTCAGGGCACCAGCTTGCTGTCTTTATCAAGGAAAATTTAGGTGGGTCATTTGGGAACATAGAAATGATATTTGAATGATTGCTTGTGGATGCAGGAAATTATATTCTGTCCATTAGTCATAGAACTTATGTCATTTCTGAAAATGTTATTTAGAGTAAAGAGGGTGATTCAGGTAGAGGCATAATATCCAATACTGCCAAGCCTCTTGTGCAAAAGGAATCCACTTACCCTCTTATGCTGCAGGGGGAATTCAGCCAGGTCTGAATTCAGCAGATGTGTGCTGAAAACCCTTTGGTGCTTAAGGTAGCCACAGACATAACTCGAATTGTTCTGGGAGCTCCTCAACTTCTGGGCTGGAGTTTGGGGGGTGATGACATCTGCAAAAAAAGAGCAAGTCCAACCACACAGCTCTTTTAAGGAACCTAAACACCAAACTAAAGCTCCTGACGTGTTTCCTTGGAATTCTGTGAAATTCTCCTTCAAGCAGAGAATGCATGAAGACTCCAGTAACAGGACACACTGCTTCTTGACTCTGAGATTGAGCTTGTACAGAAAAAAGCGTTTGGGGAAAAGCTGAAAAAGAAAACTTTCTCCTTGTGGCATTTCATTGCTTTGCACTAGAGAAGAAATTGTATTAGAGAATAAATTGTATTAGGTCGTGCTGGGTTTTTCGTTTTCTTGGTTGTATTTTTTGTGCATTTTGGTTTGTGAGAGTTGTTGTGGTGTCTGCACATTCTGGAGCCTCCAGATTCTCGGGGAAGAAGAAACGCAGGCAGCCCGAGTTCTCTGTGCCCGTTTTGTTCCCGGAGCAGAACCTGCCGTGCCTGCTGGTGGCCAGCACTGCCCGGGTGGCAGCGTTTGTTTCTCACCTGGGGTGCTGGGCAGGTCCCTCACCTGATGTTGCCTTTGTTGCTTTTCCTTTGCAGCGTGTGCCAGCACGGCTCGTTCCAGTGCAGCTTCCAGCCCTGCCCGTCCATGTGCTCGGCGTACGGGGACCGCCACTACCGCACCTTCGACGGGCTCACCTTCGACTTCCCGGGCACCTGCAAGGTCTACCTGGTCAAGGTGAGCCCGCAGAGCCCCGGAGCGCGCTGAGCTGCTGTGCCTGTCACTGTCCCCTGTCTGTGCCTGTCACTGTCCCCTGCCCGTGCCTGTCACTGTCCCCTGCCCGTGCCTGTCACTGTCCCCTGTCTGTGCCTGTCACTGTCCTCTGTCTGTGCCTGTCACTGACTGTCCCCTGCCTGTGCCTGTCACTGACTGTCCCCTGCCTGTGCCTGTCACTGTCCCCTGTCTGTGCCTGTCACTGACTGTCCCCTGCCTGTGCCTGTCACTGTCCCCTGTCTGTCGCTGTCCCCTGCATCCTGCTTACTTCATTTTCATACATTTCATCATTCATGTTTAGGCTTTGAATCGTACAGAACATAAACATGCACTGAGGTCTCTGCCAATTGAGCTAGGTGACAATATGCCTATTATATTGGTTTTTGTGACAATGCCTATTTATATTTATAGTATTTATAATAGCTATATTTATAGTATTCATAATATCTATATAGTATTTATATCGTATTTATATTATCTATATAATATTTATAATATCTATATAATATCTATATTATTTTTATAATTGCTATATTTATAATAGTTATAATATCTATATAATATCTATATTATATTTATATTAGCAATAGTTATAATATCTATAACATCTATATAATATTTATATCTATCTAATATCTATATAGTATTTATATTGTATTTCTATTATCTATATTTATAATATTTATAATATCTATATAATATTTATAATTGCTATATTTATAATAGTTATAATATCTATATAATGTTTATAATATTTATAGTATTTATATTGTTGATATGTTTTATATTTATATTTATAAATGGGTATTTGTGTTTTTTTTTCCTTCAGGGTACTTCTTCAACCAGTCTTTCTATCATTACAGAGAATATCGACTGCTTTAGTACTGGAATCATTTGCAGAAAAAACGTTTTCATTAATGTTGGAAAATCTTTTTTAGTATTTGATGATGAAACTGGAAATCCAGTAAGTTTCAGTTCTTACTGCTGATCAAAAAGCAGCACATGTACTTCTCTGGATGTTCCTTCCTTTCATAACCAAAACCTTTTTGTGCCACTCCAGTAGCAGAGGTGTAAAGATCTTTACAGTGAATGCTGATCACATCTGGACTGTTCAGTGAACCTCAGACAAAATCTTGTCTATATTTGACACAAACGTTAGATGAGCTGATTGTAGCTCTTTGGTTTAGCCTTAATTCCTGTTTAATACCTTAGGAGAAATAAAGATGTTTTGAAGTCAGTGAGAATTTTGCTATTAATTCCACTAGGACTAAGAGCCTAATCAGGAATATTTCTATACAGTTAAAAAATCCCAACTAATTACAGCCCCTGGGATGTCTTCCTCAGCCTGAATTTCATTTTTGTTTTGGCCAAACTGCAAACTCTGTTCTGCAGACTTTTAGTATTTATGATTATAGTATAAATAATACTATTTCCAATATATAGACTGACCATAGAAAGGAATTTTGAGATACTGTGTAATTAAACCAGGCATCTCAGTCCCTGCTACAAATAAGTTGTAGTCTGATTGTTAGTAAATTGGGAGAAAAATGTTTTATGTAAATAAGATTGTAATCTACAGACAGATTTGGACCATTCTTATTTCCAGAGGCTGCTTCATGCATCTTTTTATTTTTTTTCCTATCTATATTCAAAAAAAAACATGTGAGGCAGAATTGCTTATAAATAAGTGAAAATCATAATCAGGAGCCTTAAGAGTACTCAGCTCCCTCCCAGGTGAATCATTCACATTCTCACCCTCAGTCCATTATCCATCCTGTAAATTTGGTATAAAATCAACTTTTAAAATTGAAAAACCATGGAAGTACAATGCAGTTCACATTGCAAGTCCAGGCCCCTTTGCTTAAGCATTTCTCCCTGTGCCATTGTCTGCTTTGGGCTGGGTCTGAGAACAACGTTTTTAATTTTAATTAGGTGTTTCATTTCCCGTCAAGTGAACATTTTTTGAAGATATGATTTCCATTATAAGCCCCCTTGTTTTATTTTGAACAGAGTTTATCTAGTCACATAGATGGCCTACAGAAACTGCAGATATGGAGAGCTGGGTTTTTCACTGTTGTTCATTTTCCTGATGAGCACATCACGGTTCTTTGGGACCAGAGAACAACAGTTCATGTGCAGATGGGCCATCAGTGGCAGGTAGGTGCAAGCCCACGTTCTAATTGCCATTTCTCTGGGGTATTTCTGTAAATCCTGTTAAACAAGATAATTATTCAGAGAATAGACTGTCAGAAATAAATTCAAGAACCGTCCAGCTACCTCAATGAAAATATTCCTTCTCATTGTTTTAGTTACTCTTTTCTGAATATTTCCTGTAACAACAGACACAAATATCTCTGGGGCAAAGTTCTCCTTCAGTATTCATTCCTTACATGACTGAAGAAGATTTTATTTTGCTGAGGCTTAAACCATTTAGCTGACTAACAGCTCCCTTCTCTGAATAAAAATATTATCTTTTTTTTTTAAAGGCTTGGGGATACATAACTGAAAGGGCATAATAGAGATACTGCCAAAATAAAATGTCTGCCATGGCTTTGTTACTGAATTCTTGTGATTGAACAGCTGAATTGTTCTGACTGATATTTAGCTAAAAAAGGTCAAAATGTGATTAAATTTATAATTAAACAGCTGAAGATGCAAGTTTTGAAAATGATCATGACTGATAGTATTTCATCTGGTGAAAATACATTTTTATGTATGTGTCTATATGTATGTGTGTATATAATTTTTTTTCTCAGGGAGAATTGACTGGATTATGTGGAAATTTTGATTTGAAGACAGTAAATGAACTGAGGACTCCAGATAATTTTGAATTAACAAACTCACTAGAGTTTGGAAAGAGTTGGACAGCTGTAGAGGTACATGGCAAAAAGAGAGTGTGCTTGATGGTGTATTTTGCTGGTAGATTTTTTGCTGTTATATAATAAAATTCATCTCAAATGAAATCAGAAGTTAATTCCTGCAAACATCAGTCAGGCAGCAATGCAAACTACAATATCAGTGGTTCTTAAAGATGTCATAATCTGTTAAAGAAAATAAAATAATCACTTTTTTGCTGCAGAGTGTTATAGAAAAAAGGAAAATGCTGCAACAACATTTTGAATGGTTTTGATTGCAGTTAAATAGTAAAGTAGTGAAGGATTTTGATTTCACTTTACAGTGTGTTGACAGTTTAACTGATTTTTCATAGCTGGGGAAACATTTAACTGTGCAACCATAGCAATGGAAAGAGGAAAATTTCTATATGCTGTAAAGTTAGAAATAGAACTTTTTCTAAGGTAATATTTCTAGTGGTGTTCATAGCAATGTGTCTTCCTGGTAGTTAGGGTGAAAAAAATTTTATTTTCTGGCCCTCATTGTGTGAGTGCTCTTTGCCATGGATGGCAGAAGTGTTCAGGTGTAGCTGCTGCAGGTTGGGCCAGTCTGGCTCCTCTCATTGGACCTGTGGGTGTTTTTCTGCTGCTTTCAGGCCAGTGAAACACTTCTTCAAATTTTGTAATTTTCCTTTTCTCCTTCATTAGCTTAATAATAATTCTGTATCTTAGTCCTGCTTTAGTTTCATAAATGACGCATTCGTTTCACAGTTTTGCATCTCCCTAAAATTTTAAGAAAAGCACAAAAACACGGTCTGCAAGTTCAGAACACAGGGTGGTTATGAAAAGAATTCCTCACCTTGATTTTTTTGCCTCCCGGTTTAGTGTGCTGACAGCTCTGACATTCGAAATCCGTGCAGTGTGAACCCCCTGAGGGAGCCCTTTGCCAAGAAGGAATGTGGGATTCTGCTGAGTGAAGCTTTTGGAGCTTGCCACCCTGTGGTGAGTTGTCCTCAACATAAACCAGTGAAAGTGAGCGTGCAGCACCAGGGAGAAATGTTCCTCTGCAGCATTTGTAATTAATGAAGGCAAAATCACACCAAATCACACCCGATTTGGGATTTTTTTTTTTCTTTTTGATCACAAGCGTTATTTGTGCGAGCATAACTACGTGCTCGTTTTCCATGAAATGTGTAACGTGGCACACACATTTGTCATGCATGTGTAAATAAATGTATTGAATAGGCAGTGCCACGTGGGAAGAACTCATTCCTAGACAACTTACTGAAATGTGAATCTGTGTAGAATGTGTGACATTTCAATAAGCAAATTAGCATTGACAGTTTTCTCTGAAATTTTGTCACATGAGACTTGAAGGTACTGTAAGGAAAAATGAAATTCTTGTGTGAAGTTGTCTGATAATATGAATTACTCACATGCTAAGAAGAGCTGTCCATCTACTTTGATTTCTTACATTTTATGTGTTTCTGACTTCCTTAAAATTTGAGTTTTACTGATTTGTGATCAATTTAGTCTTACAAGGTTTTTCACAGTTTATGAGGGCTTAAATACCACAAAACAATACAAACCACAAGCCCAGGTCAGTATCTTGATGTGCCTGTTCTTACTGGGTCATTGACTGAATTGTGTTGCTAAGTGCTGGTCAAGATTTTATGGTGTGTTCCCATGAACATTTTTTCTCATGTCTCAGGCAGCATTGAGAGTGAAATCTTTAATACTTCCAGGTTTGCTGTATTGATATATTAAAATATTGATCTGTTTTGTAAGAGCCATAGCTTTGTGTCTACAGGAGTGCTTTTGATAAGTGATATTGTTAATGTTGCAAACACATAATCACAGGATGATTATATGCTGGTGCTTTTATTGAAGAGCTCTGGGAATCAGGGCTGCAGACCCAAATCTGACTGACATGGATTCCAGATGGAATATTTTTATACTCTTTTTGTTATATAACTATATATTAATTATTAAACCCATATTGTTCTATTGTATACATTGATCTTATCCAAGCATGAATTTTTGTCATTTTCATCAGGCCCCCCAAATATCCTTTCTCGTGATTCTTGTTAGGATTACATTGTTTTTCATGATTCTTATTACAATTAAACAATAATCATATTCAATTACCAAACAATTGTTACATTTAACAGTCATATCGTTTATCATATGATGATTATGCAGGTGTAGCTTCACATGATCTAGAAAAAAACAAAGCTCAATATTCATTCCCTTTTCCAGGCCAACCTTTCTTTCCACCCCCTGAATCTACTGTGTGCAATTCCCATGATTTTAGAAACGTTTTCACCCTATGCTACCAAAATTTCCATTTCCAGATTGACGTCACCTGGTTTTACTCCAACTGCCTGGCAGACACTTGTGGCTGTGACCAGGGGGGTGACTGTGAGTGTTTCTGCACCAGTGTCTCAGCCTATGCCCACCAGTGCTGCCAGCACGGCGTTGCTGTGGACTGGAGATCTCCCAGAGTGTGCCGTAAGTTTGTGTCACCAGCACTGCCACTGTGGGGGCCACACCTGCACCATCAGTCCCCCCACCAGCTTACCTGGGCTGGGGAGTCACTCTGTCCTCACTGACAGGACAGGGATTGGTCACAATCAGTCCCCCCAGGTTACCTGGGCTGTGGATTCAATCTGTCCTCACTGACAGGGGCAGGG